CCCGACCCCATTTGTCCACAGCTTGCCATAGCTGCCCCCAGAAGGGGCAGCGCCAGTGCTATTGCTGGGCCCACCTCCAATGTCGGGGGAGCAGCTGCCGCTCGGGGACATCATCATGTAGCCATTGGGGTCCACTCGCTGGGGATGGCGTCTGATTGGGTTGATGATCTGCTGGGGTGCAGACACGCTCTTGGGGCTCATGGGCATGTAGTCCCCACTGCCCTTTTGGCTGCTGGGCACTGGCGCCACTCCTGGGGACATGGGCATGTAGCCATCATCAGTGTGGAGAGTGGAGGCGTCTGGGCGGTGGTGGCCGCCACGCCGGTCCAAAGGGTGCATTTCCAGACCCTCCTCGGGGTAGGAGTGGGTGGGCACGAAGGCAGAGTGCCGGTAGCCAGGCAGTCGGCCTCCACTGCCACCTCCTGGTGGGTAGGCAGGCATCATCTCTGTGTATTCCTCAGTGGAAGCCACAGAGGACTGGGATGGGGTCTTCTGGTGGGAAATGGTAGGGGACGTGCCAGCAGAGTGAGTCCGCTTTCGGAACCGATTATCCAGATCTGTACCACTGGCTGCTTCATCCCCAGCCAGGGCTGGGCTCGTGCCCAAACCAGTTCCTGGGATGTAGCGGTGACCGTTGCCACCCCGAGGCAAAATGTAGTGACCATTGGGGGCGGCAAGGGTGGAGGACCCTTTGCCCCCCATGCAGATGTAGTTGCTCAGCTCCTCCTCGCCGCGGGCTGGTGGGGTGTGGCCCAGGGAATCCGGGGTGACACTGCGGAAGGAACTTCGGAAATCGCAAGGGCTGGAGCCATACTCATCCGAGGAGATGAAGCCGCCATCGCTGGGGGATCCCGACACAGAAGCACTAGACCTCCGTGGGAAAAGACAGTCCGAGGTGGAGCCGTGGCCACTGGTGCTGCTGGACGACAGACTGACCGGGCTGGTGGCAGAAGGTGAGCAGCGAGAGGAAGGCATGGGGATGGAGCGGCTGTGGTTGAGAGGAGGGTGTAGCCGGGAGCTGCCGCGATGCCGGTGGGCGTGGGTCCTGTTGGTGCTAGGACTCACGGGGCTGCCGTCCACCGAGGCCGGCCGGGACATGGTGCCTTCGCCATCACTGGACGCGCGCACACGGAAGGAGCCCTGCTTGCTGCCCACCATGCTGGCCGGAGAGGTGGCGGTGATGCTCTCGGTGCGAGAGCGGCGTGTCAGCCCCACCTGGCTGGGCGGGGGGTTGTTGAGATGGTGCCTGCGCAGGGGGACGCTGATGGGGTTGGAGCAGTTGGAGGAGGACTGGCTCTTACTTCGAGGACGGAACTCATCGCTCATGGCCCTCATGGCCTCCAGAATTGTCTCGTGCATGTTCTGGGCCACCACAGAGTCATCCACCTGCATCCAGAACTCCCCAGGTCCCGTCACTGCGGAACGACCCACCTCGATGAAGAAGAAGTTCTCTGAGTGGCCGCAGCGTCTGATGTTCATCAGCTGCAGCACCACAGCAGCCGCCTCCGAGTTCAGCTTCACGAAGCTGATGGTCTTGCTGGTCAGGCAGAGACGGTAGATACCAATCAGGTTCTTTGTCTGACCCAGACCCTTGGGTTTCAGGATCACCTGCCAGACCTCCTTGAACGCAGGTCCTGGGGGCACGTCCCCGTAACTCAAGTCCTCCCCAGCCTCCCCGAGGCCAGAGCTGCCGCTGCAGCTGCCCCCACCTCCTCCTGCCCCGGGGGCTGCCGCCCCGTCGTGGTGGCCCTTGGCCCGGTTGTGCAGCTGCAGGAGGGCCTGGTACCAGCTGTCCTGCTCGGCCTCGCTGTCCGCCGCGATGGCAAAGTGCTCGTCCCGGGTGTAAAGGGCCACCAGGTGCTTGTTCTTGGAGTCGGCCCGCTTGTTGATGTTGAAACAGCTCTCGAGGGGGATCGAGCGTTTGGGGGCGCTCGACTTGTGCCGCCACTTCTTCTCGTTCTCGTAGTACTCGAGGCGCGCTGGGCCCCCCGCCTCGCTGGCCGCCCGCAGCACGAAGAAGCGCTTGTGCATGCTCTTGGGTTTGCGCAGGTAGCCCACCTTGCGCACGTCCGAGAAGCCGTCGGTCTCGGGAGGGCTCGCCATGCTGCCGCCGCCGCCACCGCCGCCGAGGAGAGGGAGGCGCCGAAAAACAACCGGGTGGGGGGCGGAGGCTCCTCGCCGCGGCCCCGCACATGCAAACAGGGCTGGAGACAGCCGAACCCCCGACTCCGAAAGCCACGCCGCCCCCCGCGCTGGGGAGGGGCAGCCGAAGGGGGACGCAGCTGCTGCGCCAAGGAGACGGCCGCGGCCGGAGTTTACGGGCGTTTCATGCCCTGAGGGGGAGGCAGTGCGTCCTGGGTGAGTGAAGCCCGGATCCTCCAAGTGCCGAGTCTCCTCGCAGCCGCCGCGGCCAGGAAGGAGCGAAGATGCATCTCTTGCCACCGGGGCTGGAGTCTGGCGCAGACGGGCGGCGGCGGCCGGGGGTCCCCGCGCTGCCCCTCCAGGCGCGCGCGCCTTCCCTCCTGAGTTCCCCTCTGGAAGTAGCGATTCCCGAGGCAAATTAAATATCCTTGGGCAGGGGGAGGCGAGCTGCCAAGTCCCAACGTTGCACGGGGTTCTCCCTCCTCCTCCTCCTCCTTCGCCTCCTCCTCCGCCTCCTCCCACCCCCCAACCGCCCCGCCGCCACCAGCCGCCCAAATACCAGCTCAATCGCAGAGACCGCGGCGCTGCGGCTGTTGCTGCTGCTGCTGCCGCCGCCCGCAGACGGGTCCGCTGCAGCCCCCATTCGGGCCCATCTCGGCGGGCGGAGAAAGTGCCTTTTCCACGCAAAACGCTACTAGGCAGCCGAGGGAGCTGGGGACGCGCCGGAGGGACAGGCTCATCCCTGCCCCTCGCTCCAGTCGGCAGGGGAGGAGGGGAGGGGACGAGGGCGGGAGGCAAAGGGGGAGGTTTGGGAAGGAGTCAGGGAAGACGCCTCTTCCCCGGGAGGCGCTGCCTCTGCAGTTACTTCTCCCCTCCTCCCTCCTCTTTCTCGGAGAGTTGCCGAGAGCCCCAACCAAAACAAGCGGCGGCGTCTGGCTCTGCGCGCCGGCCCCCGCCGACCGCGCCGCCGTCTCACTCGGAGGAGAAAAAACACGTGACGGAGCCTCCGCGCTCCGCAGCCGGGCCGCCGCCACCGCCGCCACCGCCACCGCCGCCGGGAGGCTCCCGCCCGGGTCTCTACATTCCCGGCCGAGCCCGCCCCGCGCACGCCCCTCTCCGCCCCCCGGCCGTGCCGCAGCGGCGCCCGCCCTGGGCCCCGGCGCAGCGCTCGGGCAGCGCCCCTGCGCGGCCGCCAGCCCCTACGCAGAGCAGTCCTCCCCGCGCGCCACCCAGGGCGCCCCCGGCCCGCAGGAATCCCCGCCGCTGGTGCGGGCGGGTGTGTTTGGGTGGCTACCCGAAAGCACGAGGGGAGTCTGGGAAAACGGCAGCGGGGGCGGGGGGCGAGCTCGGGAAGACGCAGGAGTGAGGGTGGGGGTCGGCGGGGGGGCTCTGCGGCTACGCGGCCCTGAGTGGGAGGGTCCAGGGAGGAGGGGGCGCGGGAGCTGGGCTAGATCTTACCTAACAGGTAAGATCGACCCCTAGAGAGGGAGGTTTCTAGTCAAACCTTTTTCTCCCAGAACATATAAAGGCTAGATTTCAGTTTCAGGGTGATAGGCCACAGTGAGGAAATCTGTGTTTTTATAAGGTCTACTAAGGGACTTCTGGGCCAGCCTTCCACCTTGGAATCCCCGAAATCACTGCAGGGATGTACCTCGAAGGAACAGAGGGGCGCCCAAGGGCATATGTTGGGGGATTCTTGTCACTCCGAAATGAAAAGAGGGATCCCCGTATTGTGTCCTCTGTCTGGCTCTGTGGGGCTAGCCGCTGATCAATTAGGGAGAAAATGTAAATATCACGGCTCCCCCCACCTTCTTCCTAGGGAAGGGGTGGGGATCCACAGGGGTAAAGTCTTGGCGAGAAAATGAGATGCCCCTTATCATATTCCGGAACCTATCTGTATTTTTAAAAAGATGTTAGGGACCTAGAGAGGTTCGTAAGGCCAAAACCCTATTGTGTAAATATTGGCTTAAGAGTTTGTTTCACGCACAGCTTCCACACCCACTGAACCGCCCTATAAAATTTTTACCCTTGACCACAAGGATAATCGGGAGAAAACAAGGATCGTGCTAAGGGAAAATGGGTACTTCACGAGTAGAACAGGCCAGCATCCTGGATCTACTTGAACAGACTCTTAGAGTTACCTTGGGGTATCATTCTCACCACAAGCAAACGCTCGCCGAAGTTGTTTTTCTTTTTCTTTTCTTTTCTTTTTCTTTCTTTTCTTTTCTTTCTTTCTTTCTTTTTTTTTTTTTTTAAGCCGACCTATAAACAATCAGTGTGTCCCTTGCTTGTCCGGCTGGCAGTAAGGACCCTACGAAGATGACGTTTGTCATTTGGTGTAGTGCTGTCTTATTTATTCCCCCTCCCCATTCCTGGCCGGCTTGGGGTTTCTGTCCCCTCTCCACGCCGGAGACCGTCCTTCGCCTCCAGCCCTCAGACACTGCGGGATGCTCCTGGGGAAACGCAGCTGTGGAAGTGCTGGGCATGCTCGGTGGCCCGGCTCGCTGGGCGACGAGGAGCGCGCCTGGGCCTAAAGCGGGGGTGGGGGGCGGGGGCTGTTTCTTGGGGAAGCCTGCTGATTGGTAGGCCTGTCTGTCTTTCAAGACTTGCATTGCAGCAGGAGGGGAGGTGGGGACAGAGGGTGAGGGTACCAAGGTAGGTTGCGAAGCGTAGTAAAAAAAAATAAAAGAGAAGAACCATAGGCGCCATTCAGTGGCGTATGATACGTGAATTGGGGGACCCGGCATCTGCGGAAGTCCGGGAGCCTCTCATTTCTCCTCTTACCTTCAGGCTCCCCAACATCATGTGGGCTCATCTAAACCTGGTTAATCTATAATTTGTGTACACACTGCTGAATTGAGAGCCCGCCCTTCTCTCCCTCTGACAGCTTGGTGATGAGGGCACACGTGCCCACTACAGCAAAGCTATAAATAGCAGATTTTGGAGCTGGTAACGAGGCGGTAACAACAGGGGCCGAGTTGTTGGGAGCATAGCTTGCTTAATGGGGAGCAGGGGAGGGGGATGCGAAGCCAGGAAGACTGAAGTTAGTAGTAAAGTGTAATTGTGTGGGGTTTTACCCTTGTCAAGAAAAAAGTAAGATAAAAAGGTTGTTTTTTAGTAACGACATAATCTAAGGCCAAAGGGCTTTTTACAGGTTTGATGGTTAGCGCGGGTCGAGTGGAGGATATTTCACAGTGCATAGACTTTAACTTTTCAAATGACCTTCTTCCTCCCCCACTTGCCCCCCAAAACTAAAGGGAATATGCCTCTATAGAAACCAAATATTCGTTGCTAAAAGGAGAAGGCAGGAAGATCAATTTAATTTGCAAATATTCTGTAATAACCTTCACAGAAATGTTTGTATTTTAATCATATAAAACAAATTATTATATAATATAAAAATCTTTTTAAAAAATATGTCTCAGTGGGAAAGGATTTCTGCCCTAAAAATTCAATTTCAGGGCTAAAATGTTCTATAGAAATCATGCAATAAGCCAGATGGCTGCGACAAATTCTGTTCAGACCAGCCGGTTTCAGGCAGAGGGTAATTGCTGATCACGGAATGTTACTGCCATTTCTTCCTACTTTCTGATGTTTTACCACCAACGTTAAAAATGGTTGGTATTTACTCTAATTATACCATAGTAAGTTAATTTGTTCTTCACTTTTTTTTATTAATGGGTTGAGATAACTCTGGAAACGCACATGTGGTTCATATAAGATACAGACTATAAAGAGATGCTTTTGTGGAATCTGAAGTAGTTTGGAGCAGGTACAAGTATTATCCTATCACCGTATGCCAAATTAGTCTTGTGGCATACTGTAATGAAATACGCTGTATGAAACATTAAGTCCTAGCTGAAAATTCACAGAAACCAAAAAGCAACCTATTACCAAATATATTGCTCAATGCTGCCATCTATAGGCTAGAGATGATTCGTGTAATAGACTAAAGTGCATCTTAAAACTGAAACAGAGCTGAAATGGCTCATCAGAACAGTGAGACAGTTATGTTGATATTCACAAATGAAGTTATGATTCTAGGAGCTAAAACTTAGTATGCCGTGGATTCACTATTGGACAATATGTCTACAATTAGCTTTGAAGTGAAAAAATTGATCTATGGGTAATGCTATCAGGGACATACACAAACTTTATAAATTATTACATGTATCCTTAAAGTGATCTCTAACTAGAAATTTATTTTGGTTATTAATTAATATGTTGTAAGTTAAACATTTTATATTTTGTCAACATAGAGAAGTATAAGTTACTGTCAAAAATAACAGAAATTAGATTTGAATTGGCTGAAGGCACAACTAAGCATTTGACAATTAGAAAGTATTTCCTATATCAAAACATGTTCTACTTAGGATAAATAGCTTGTACCTGAAGGAGCTGCTTAAATATTGTCATCTGTTAAAAAAAAATGGCAAATTAGAATGATTCTTGAAGGAAAATAAAAACTTGCCAATTTTCCCGTTGTAATATCTATTTTTTATTTTAAGATAGCTTCATAGTAACAAATATTTGAATGCCTACTCTGCAAGGTGATATGAAATATAAAAAAGAGACAGCTTCTTATAGTTTTCATGGGATATTAAGAGATATAAAATAAAGATGAATGATACCCAAATTAGTGTGTGTGTGTGTGTGTGTGTGTGTGTGTGTGTTAAATGTCAGATAACGGGTATTTACCCAGAGCAGGAGGAGATCATGGTGCATGAAATAACTAAAGAAATCTTTGTGAAGGAGAAAAACTTTAAGCTTGAACTTGAAGGGTGGCTCTCACTTAGGTAAGTGATAGGCAATTTTTTCCTCATTCAGGTGCTGTGGAGTACCTCCTTTATCAGGCATGAAGCTGGGCACTGAAGATTTAGATTCCTGACATATGATCCTGCCCACAGGAAGCTTACAGTAAAGGTGAGAAACAAATGAGTACAATTACAGAGCACTATGATTTCTCTTTTAAAAAGTAGGCACAGCACAAATGAGATCCAATAATAACCTATCACCTTCTGATTTAAAAGTCATCAATCACAAACAATATGATTTGGGAGCCTGGAGATGCCCCTCCCTTAATAACCTTGTTCTCTTGCTCCCTCTTTTTTAGATTTATTTATATATTTGAGAGAGAGAGAGAGAGAGAGAGTTCTCAAATGGGGGAAGGGGCAGAGGGAGAGAAACCTCAAGCAGACTCCCTGCAGAGCATGGAGCCCAACTGAGAGCTCGATTCTGCAACCCATGAGATCATAGCCTGAGCTGCTGAAACCAAGAGTCCACTGCTTACCCGACTGAGCCCCCCAGGTGCCGCAACCTTGTTCTCTCTTGTAATTAAAATCTCTCCTCCTTTCAGATTAAAAAAAAAAAAAAAAAAAGTGAAGTTGGGAAATTGAAAGTGATCTAGAAAGACGCATTGGGCTCGGAAATCTGCTAGATGAAGGCTTCCTAAACCTGAGAATGTTGTTAAAGCGCAGGTTCTGATTCAGAAGGTCAAGGGCAGGCTGCTGTCCTACATTTCTGACCCATTCCCAGGGATACTGATTCTGCCTGTATGCCTTTTCTTTAGCACAGTTTCAGATAACTAATAATTGGTCGAAAGGCATGAGAATATGCTGCTGGGAAATGCAAGCCGAGTACTTACATTTCAGTATTCTAGACATTCCAAGAGAACAACAGCAATAAAGATTCTACTTAACTGAGGCGCTATTGCATTGGGCCTTCTCTCTTTTCATTCACAGGTATCAAATCTTTCTGACAAGTGTGAAGAGTTATTGTCTCTCTTAAACACTTGTGTGAGTGTCTTCCAAAGTGTGATTAAAAATGTAGAGTTCTGGCTACATCCAAGTCCTACAGAACCAAAATCTCTTAGAGAATGCTGGACCCCCACCATCTGCATTTTATTTGTTGTTTTCCACCATCTGCATTTTAAGCAGCATTCCAAGAGACTCTTATTCACACTAAATTTTAAGAATCAGTGGTTTAGGTACAAAGGAAAAGGTTTAATTAAATATCTTGGGAACAGGTGAATGCACAGCCCTAGCCAGTAAACAAAAGTCTTTATCTGTGGGCTAGTTACTGTATCTGGGGGGAGCGGGCAGTGACCCAGGTCTGGTACATCTCTTGAGTCTTTGAGAAAAATCAGTTACAGGCAGTCAGCCAGTGAGAATCCAGTTCTGCTCTGATTTTGATTTCATCCTCCCTCTATCCTAGAGAATTCAGAGAAGATCAACACAATGAGAACTAACACAGGATTTTAGAAAGGTGTTAACACCCTCAACAGACTATTTCAAACCTTTTGCTTTTTTCGGTATAAACAAAGCATCAAATAAACAGATGACTGAGGTTAGAAGAGAGGGAGAAAGTGAAAACTCTATGTCACTATTTAATTCTTCGATTTTGGAAATTTTGTTGATGGGTGATTTTTTTAGGTTAGTCCCTAATCACACCTATCTAAAAGACTTGCTTTGTCTTTTTAAAAATTTTATTGATTTAATATATTCTCATTTTCTATATTCTTTTGTAAGAACTGGAGGTTTGCCAGTCAATTTGTCATCTTAGATAATGCTACCAAGTTTTTTGGTCACTTAATCCAAGGAAGGAATCCCCAGCTGTTTCTTGTATTCAAAGAGACATCTGTTCTATCTAGAAAAGCATGTGCCTAGAAAGATTTGTAGACTCTATAACACCTCTTGTTGGTTTCCCCCCATTGTCCATCTTAAAGTTGTCTTTTTAGTACAGTGTGCTTAGTCTAAAATTTGATAACCAAAAAATGTCTTCAAAATAATTCTGCAACTTTACTTGTTTTTTAATAAGAATGTCCATAATGATGAACTTGTAATGCCTTCTATTGAGTAGTTAGGACCTGGAGGTAAAATATTGGTTTTCCTAACAAAGAATCCCCAGGTCTCCCAAGGGCTTTTGCTCTTCTCCCACCCCTCCCCCCAATAGGAAGATTAATAATCACATCTTTTATTTCTTCTCTCCTTTTCCTTCTCCTTCTTCTTCTTCTTGAAGTAACTCTTCAAACTGGGGCTGGCTTATGATTTCAAGTTCCTTTACTTAATAACAAAAACTGGGGATGCCTGGGTGGCTCAGTTGGTTAAGCATCTGCCTTCGGCTCAGGTCATGATCACCGAGGTCCTCGGATGGAGCCTAGTGTCAGGCTCCCCATTCAGTGAGGAGTCTGCTTCTCCCCCCAACCCCCACTAGCGCTCTCTCTCTCTCAAATAAATAAAATCTTAAAACAAAAACAAAACCCAACTAATTAGAAGTTTAGGAATATGTGTGGTTTAGGAACATGTGAGGTTGATTTGAACTCAAGACATGTAATTACATCGATAGCTTTGGTGTTGCCTGGTGCGGTTCTACATGTGGACAGAGGGTCACCCACATCAAAATCACCAGGGCGCTTGTTGAATGTGCCACTCTTTCTATCCCACCCCTGGCTCTACTAAATCAGGTGCTCTCTAGGTTAATATGCACTTCCCCCATTGAGTTTTTAAAGATTTTTTAAAAATTTATTCATTTGAGACAGAGCAATCACAAGTAGGGGGTGGGGCAGAGGGAGGGGGAGAAGCAGACTCCCTGTGGAGCTGGGAGCCTGACATGGGACACAACCCCAATACCTGGAGATCATGACTGTAGCAGAAGGCAGATGCCCAACCGGCTGAACCACCCAGGTGCCCCTCCCCATTGAGTTTTATGTGTGCTAAGATTTGAAAACCACTCATGAGCTTAAATCTAAAACCATATATTTTAAATGAAAATATTATATGAAATACACAAGAACTAACTTTTGGTCAATAGTTTTATTCTGAAATATTCTACTGCAGTGACTTAAAAACTTTTTTTTTTTTGTAAAAATTTCATTATTTATTAGAGTGAGAGAGAGAGAGGAGAGAGGGAGAGAGAAACCTAAGCAAATTCTAGGCTGAGAACAGAGCCCGACATGGGGCTTGATCCCACAACACCAAGATCAGGACCTGAGCGAAAATCAAGAGTTGGCTGCCTAACCGGCTATACCACCCAGGTGCCCCATGACTTAGAAACTCCCTAACACCTGGTAAAAATTATTTGCAAACACATTGTACATCAAGCCCTGTACACATGCAGGCAAGTGCCTGAAATACAATCTATCCTTGTGTCTTGCAGTGCACTCAAATCTTTTTACTCTTCCCTCTCTCTTTCTCATGCTCGTCTTCCTTTAATGCTTGCTAGGACCCACTAAATTAGTTTCCCAGCACATGAAGGTGTCACAATCTGCAGTTGCCTCACTATATGAGTATTTCTAAATTCCAAAGCAACTACCACTTCTAGTTCCTTCATTGTGCTAACCATCAAGTCTCTTAAGGAGGAAATGCATATCCTACTTCCAATGGATTCTAATTCATTTAAATTTATACTATTTTTAGTACGAACCAAATATGATTTTTCCACTACCTTTTTTCTTAAGCTGAAGCCACTCTGTCCCTGCTAAGCCATGAACTCTGCTACACTCAAATTTTCCATGTACCTTAACAATAGAAATCTAAATACAGGTGAAAGGCGAATTGAGAACACAATGTAATTCAGTTACTATTTTCTTGAAGATTACAGGCATTTATTATCATGCCCCCATTTTATTCTCTTGTAATATTGAGTGAATGCCATTTACCTTGCCCTGTGTATAAAGCATTTGGGGGAGATAGACATAAATGCATATAAAATATATTCATGTAATTTTATATTTTATTTACCACCAGTTTTGGATTGAGGCTACATAGGAAAGGGACTCTCCTTTTTTTGTTGTTGTTGTAAAGGAGATGTATTTAAAAATGAATTACTTATTAGTAATTAAAAATTACTTTTATTGACATTAGTTTCATTAAACTAGTTAAAATGTTAAATGTCATTTTCTAACCAATTTACCAAACATAAATTTCTCCAAGTACTAGGAAATTCAGTTTTTAAGGGCTCATTCATTCACTCATTCATTCACTCAACAAATATTTATTGAACATTTACTATTTGTCAGTTGCTGTTATAAGAGCTTGAGACACAGCACAAAGCAGATAGGTATCTGCTCTCAGTAAGGGAGGACAAATGGCAATAAAACTAAACATATTGAATGAACAGAACATCTAGTATGTCAGAAGGTGATAAGTGCTATGAAAGAAAAAAAATAAGTCAAGATTAGGAGATTTGGGAGTGCTGGTAGTGGCAGAGGGTTGCTATTATAAGTAGGTGGTCCATCCAGGTACATCACATTCAAGAAGGTAACATTGAGATCCGGAGGAGAGCCCTAATAGCCAACTGGAAAATGGTGAAGTGTTTATGCAGAGATTTGAAATAGCCAGTGCAAAGCGCCCAAATTAGGAACATACTGGGCACATTCAAGGAAACAGTGAGGAAGGAAGAGTTGTTGAGGCCAAGTGGGGGAGGAGAGACTAGGAAGAAGAGAGATTGAAGATAGCACGGTAGATAAAATCAGAGAAGATCATGTGGGTCGTTTTAAGGACTTTGGTTTTTATGCCGAATGAGATGGAAGCAGCTAGAGGGTGTTTCACAGAGCATTGGGAGAATCTGACTTATATTCCAAAGACCCATTGTGGCAGTTCTGTTGGGAACAGACTATCAGCGGAGAAGAGAGAATAGTGAAGGCAGAGGTGGAGAGACCTGTTAACAGGCTATTGCAGAAATCTAATCAAGAGGTGGAGATCCAGCTGGCAGTGGAGACGGGGAGGAAGTGGTCAATTCTGAGTATATTTTGAAGGTGGAGTAAGTAGGATTTGCAGGTAGTTTGGATGTGACATGAGAGAAAACGGTTTTTTGATCTGTGCAACGAGAAAGTTTAAGTTTCCATCAGCTGAGGTAGTGTGTCAGTTTTCTATTGGTGGATTAACAAATCACTTCAAAGGAAGTCTCTTAAAATGTCAGCTGCTTCATTATGCTTAAGAATTCTGTGGGTCAGGAATTCAGCCAGGGCACTATGAGGATGGCTGTCTATGTTCCATCATGTCTAGGACCCTGAATGGGGTGACATGAATAGTTGGGGGCAACTTGAATGGCTGGAGCCTGGAATCATCTGCAAGTGTCTTCACTCCTATGTCGGGCACCTGGATTAGGATGACTGAAAGGCTGGGTCAATCAGAATCCTTACACCTGCTCCCAACATGTGGCTAGAGCTTCTCTTGGCATGAAGGCTAAATTCCAAAAGGATCAAGCCTGCAGATGGAGCACCCCAAGAGCAAACACGTAAAGGGGGGTGTTCCAAGAGAACCAGGCAGAAGTTGTGTAGCCTTTTATGACCTCATCTCAGAAATCATAGAGCTTCACTTCTGTATGTACTTGGTTGGTAGAAGCAGTCACCACCCCCTGCCAGATTAAAGGGGAAGGAACCTGGACCATATTTCTTCCTGGGAGGAATAACAAAGAATTGTGGCCATTTTTTTAAAGTACCACAGATTGGATGACTGTGAGTAAACAAGTACAGGGATGACAGGAAGATCAGAAGATTCAGTTCCTGATTGAAGAGAATGTTGATTTTCAGATGCTTGTTGAACCCTTAAGTGGAGATATTAAGTAGGCATTTGTATATATAAAGTTGTCGTTGAAAAGGCTGGTCTGGGCAGAAGATGTAAATATGAAGGTTGTCAGCATATGTGGAATTGAAAGCCCTTGATACTGGACAAGACCACCAAGAGAGAGAAAGTAGAGAATAGAATAGCACTGAGGAACCAGCAAAGGAGTCTCAGAAGAGTGACTACTGAGGTTGTTCTCTTCAAGGAGAAGGGAAAGTACTGTATCAGCAAGAAGAAAATCAACTATTGAGTCAATTGCTGCTGATGATCCAGTCAAAGGAAACCTCAGAATGCGCACAGGCTTTAGCCTTATTGTGTTTGTGTTATATGTGAGACCAATCAGCATGATCTCAGGTGCACACAAAATGCTTGGGATATGATTTGATTCTTCAGGGAAATCACTAGCATTCAACCCCGTTCCTCACATGAATATAGCACAGTAAATGTGTATAGAAAAATCTGTAGGGCTTACCTGGATAATTATGGCAACACATTTCATATTTCCTAAATAACTCTAACTTGAAATATTGCCGTAGGATAAAGGTATTGAAGTATATTTGATGTTATATTAGATAATTCTCACCAAGGACTTTTACCTTCTTATCGCTGACACCTAGACTTCTAGACATTTCTTAAAATTCAGACAGAAGGAGGTAAGGGGGGTGGGAGGAGAAGGAGCAAGAGTCATAGAAAAGATTTCCAGGAGTATATGCCTTAATTTTTTTTACCAAATATTTCTAGAAACTTACTTCTAGATTAATCAAATTTTACTGATTAAAAAAATTTTCCAATTAAATGATAGCTCTTCCCTTTATCTTGAATTACTATTAAAGATCAATGGAAAGTAATACAGTACATCCAAAAAGCAAATATAATGCTAGCACTTAATTTTAAGCTGGAAAAATAATAAATAAAATCTTATGTAAAATAAATCAATGCCAACCATATAATTATGTGAGATAAAAATGACTGTGTCATTGATAGGCACACAATCTACCAGAGTAGAAATCGTACCTCTTAGAATCTTTATAGAACTACAGAATAGACTTAAACACAGCTTTGTGAATTATGAGAATTTATTATTATTTTAGTTCTGCAGTTTTCCCACCCTAATATAAAAGTGAAAATAAAGAGAATCCATATAAGTTGTTATATGTCCACTGTGAATGACAGTTTAACTATCCTGCCTCTACCCAGTGATGATTGTCTGATTCCCCCACATGCCCGTGCTTGTGCTGACATTTGTACACACACTTCCCACAAAACTGCTTGCTCTCTTTCTGTTTGGCCAAGGTTGATCATGGTTTCTTTGTTGGTTACTGATAGTATTTAAAATTAATAAAAATATTTTCTTTTCTCACTCAACAGCTTCTTCACTTTCTCTATTCCCTTTTCCTCCTCCTATCACATTTCAACTGAATCTAAAACAGTGCACTATGTGGTAATTCAGGACCACGGAGAGCGTGACCGAAGGGGCATTTCCAAAATATCCTAGTCTTGTAGGTGGGGGAAGAGATGATTCTGAAACTGTTGCTGGACATCTTTCACTTAAAGGACATTATTATAGAGAATAACAGTAACATTCCAACTCCCTGATATTTAGGAGATATGATTTTTCTGGACATTCTACGTGCTTTCTAAACTTCTGGTTTGAATTCCAAGAGAAGATTCCTAAAGTATGGATAGCCAGAGATTCCAGAGATTGCCAGTGCAAAACATCTTTTGAAGTTTCATGTTTATACTTTGCTACCTTTTCTTCTTTCTGACAATTGTGAGACCCACCAGCCTATCACGGAAGAAAATTGAATTATACAGAGATTGACAGAGTTGTAATTGAATAGTTAGAGCCATGTGTACAAGCTCTGGTCCTAGGTCTCTAGCACTGCTCTAGAATCTGCATCTCATCCTTCAATTCTGTGAACCACTCAGAATTCATTCAATCATTATCCTCCCCTCTCTTTTAATTTTCCTTAATCTAGTTTCACTTGAGTTTTCTTACTTACAACTGGACATGTCCTACTAACACAGATAGTAAGATTTAGATAGACAAATGAGAACAAATATAATTCTAGGCTAGGAAGAAATAAGATTGTAGTCAAGGAGGTAGGAATGCAGCTTGGGTTTTTCTGGGATAGTGAGAAAATTGGCTTAAGAATATTGAATGTTTTATAAGGAATGTGTTTAAATAGCTTCTTTATACTAAACTGAGTAGGAGGATGAATTCTTTCAGCCTCTTCAGAAGGCAGTTGAACAAGGGCTATACAAATTTCAAATGCATATAACATTTGACCCAGCAATTCCACTTCTAGAAATGAATTCTAAAAAATAAATATTTAAGGATATTCATCGAAATGTTCTTCTGTCATAGAAAATAACTGAAAACAACATACATGTCCATCAGTAGAAAATTTGTTAAATCTACATATTGAATTATTACACTGTCATTGAAGATAATTCAGTAGATCTGTAGATTACATTATGGAATCATCCTTGCAGGAAAAAAAAATGGTAAGACACAAACTATAATAAATGCTATCATTTTTTTTAAAGAGCACATGTATATTTTCATACAGAAAAATTCTAGAAGGGCAAATAAGAAATCTTAGCATGGTTTTCTCTGGAAGAAGGACTTTTTATCTCATATTCAAGCAATCTAAGATTGTTTGCTTGTTTTTGCAACAACATTCCCATATTACTATTTGAATTAAATTACTATCAGAAATACAACAAGGTAGAACAATGAAAATTTTAATGATATATAATGGTTATTGCTTGCTTAGGAATTTCTATGTAGACCTTGTTTTAAGCTCATTAATATAGTATCTCAATTGATCCTCACAGCAACCTTCTGAAGAAGAAAACATTTCCTCAAATTGCACTATTGGAGGTATTCAGGCTACTGGAACTCTAAGAGTGATCATGCCATGATTCCAAACTCTGGCTCCAAAGCCCTTGTGTTTCTTCTTTTTGCCAACCTGAACTGCCTCTGACTTTGTTGTTGTACCCCTGAGGACTTATTTCTGTGGATAAAAATTAAATCTCCAAAGCACCTGTGTGGCTTGGTGGGTTAAGCAGCTGCCCTCCGCTCAAGTCGTGATCCCCGGGTCCTAGGATCAAGCCCCACATCGGGCTTCCCTGCTCAGCAAGGAGTCTGCTTCTCCCTCTCCCCATCCTCTTGCTCATGTTCTCTCTTTCTGTCAAATAAATAAATAAATAAAATCTCTTAAAAAAAAAAACAAAAAAACTAAATCTCCCTGCAGCCTACCAAGGATATCTAATAAAGATTTTCTTTGAAATGGCTAATAAAACGAATCACTAAATAAACTTTCCCTTCTGTACCAGGTACTTTGATGTGGTGTAGAGATTTTCTTAAACTGACCGCCAAGGTATACACCACCTCATAAATTTTATTAGAGAGCAAAATTATGATAACAGTTTCTCTCTCCAGCACTGGAAGACATCCAGTTGTTTAATCGGGATAATGACAAAGATGGACTTCCATATTGAATAGATCACTCTTGTAGTTTTGAAGGAGGAATTTAGAAAAGAGGAGATTGGAGACACAGATGTAGTTGACATGGAAATTTGTTGGGTATCCACCCAGCACTGTGTTTCTCCATCTTTTACCAAGAACACCCTTATATTCCATGGGTCAATTCACAGAAAGATTATTAGTTGAGACCTCAGATCTGGACTGCCTTGGGTCAACTGACACTGCCACTTACCATCACAGTAAATGTTGACAATTAATTGAATTTCTCTCATGTATCAATAACATGGAAATAAAATAGTATTTCACTGAATCATTATGATGGTTTAAGCAGATAGAGCTTATGAGTGCATAGTAAATATTAGTCGTCATCACCACTATTATTGTTGTCCTCAATCACGTGTTTTGAATGGGATTAGTCCCACCACTCCTTGTCTCCACCGAACCGTCAATCCCCACCGCATTGCAGGACAGAGTCTACCACAGAGTGGCAAGGATCACAGAAATCCCGTCCTTAAAGAAGGGGCAACACTTTATCGGTTTGACACTCTTAACTTACTTTATTTTTCTTAAATATCACCAGACACATTGTATACTTATTTATTCTCAAAAAGTAGAGAATGCATGGTTTGTTCACTGTTGTCTTTAGGTGAGCAATAAAGAAAGGTGGCTGAAGAAAGCATTCCTGTCAGGGGACTACATGAACAACGGTGGAAAAGTCATGAAGAAACATGGGCATTCCATGTGGACTGGAGTAGGGGGAACATGCAGCTGGTCTATAAATGAAATCATGCACAGAAAGTATTTAGCAAGGCTTTGTGGTCAAGATAGCGGAGAAGTAGCAGGCTGAGACTACTTCAGGTAGCGGGAGATCAGCTAGATAGCTTATCTAAAGATTGCAAACACCTACAAATCCAACGGGAGATCGAAGAGAAGAAGAACAGCAATTCTAGAAACAGAAAATCAAGCACTTTCTGAAAGGTAGGACTTGCGGAGAAGTGAATCCAAAGCAGCGGGAAGATAGACCGCGGAGGGAGGGGCCGGCTCCCGGCAAGTGGCAGAGCAACGGAGCACAAAATCAGGACTTTTAGAAGTCTGTTCTGCTGAGGGACATCGCTCCAGAGGCTTAACTGGGGTGAAGCCCACGCGGGGTAAGCGTGGCCTCAGGTCCCGCAGGATCACAGAAGGATCGGGGTGTCTGAAGGTTGCAGAACTTACAGGTATTAGAACGGGGAAGCCGGCTACAGAGACGGAGCCGAGGAGTGAGCTCACAGCTCGGGCTTACCTTGAACCGGTCGCAGGCTCAGTGAGCGCGGAGCGCAGCCGGAGGCCAGGCAGACGGGAGTAATTGGGCGCTGTTCTCTGAGGGCGCTCTGAGGAGTGGGACCCCGGGTTCTCAGCTCCTCCGGGCCGGAGACTGGGAGGCCGCCATCTTCATTCCCGTCCTCCGGAACTCTACGGAGAGTGCTCAGGGAACAAAAGCTCCCAAAAGCAAACCCGAGCAGATTACTCAGCCCGGCCCCTGGTAAGGGCGGTGCAACTCCGCCTGGGGCAAAGACACTTGAGAATCACTACAACAGGCCCCTCCCCCAGAAGAACAACAAGAAATCCAGCCAGGACCAAGTTCACCTACCAAGGAGTGCAGTTTCAATACCAAAGAGAGCAGCGGAATCCCAGAGGAGGAGAAAGCAAAGCACGGAACTCCTGGCTTTCTCCACATGATTCTTTAGACTTGTAGTTAATTTTTTTCTTTTTCAATTTTTTTTCTCTTCCTCTGCTATTTTTTTAACTTTTACCCTTTTCTTTTTTAACGTTTTTTAACTAGTTTATCTAATATATATATTTTTTTTTCTTTTTTATATTTTTTCTTTATTCGTTTTCTTTTCTTTCTTTCTTTCTTTTTCTTTCTGAACCTCTTTTTATCCACTTTCTCCCCCCCTCACGATTTGGGATCTCTTCTGATTAGGTTAAAGCATATTTTCCTGGGGTTGTTGCCACCCTTTTAGTATTTTACTTGCTCCTTCATATACTCTTATCTGGACAAAATGACAAGGCGGAAAAATTCACCACAAAAAAAAAGAACAAGAGGCAGTACCGAAGGCTAGGGACCTAATCAATACAGACATTGGTAATATGTCAGATCTAGAGTTCAGAATGATAATTCTCAAGGTTCTAGCCGGGCTTGAAAAAGGCATGGAAGATATTAGAGAAACCCTCTCTGGAGAGATAAAAGCCCTTTCTGGAGAAATAAAAGAACTAAAATCTAACCAAGTTGAAATCAAAAAAGCTATTAATGAGGTGCAATCAAAAATGGAGGCTCTCACTGCTAGAATAATTGAGGCAGAAGAGAGAATTAGTGATATAGAAGACCAAATGACAGAGAATAAAGAAGCTGAACAAAAGAGGGACAAACAGCTATTGGACCACGAGGGGAGAATTCGAGAGATAAGTGACACCATAAGACAAAACAACATTAGAATAATTGGGATTCCAGAAGAAGAGGAAACAGAGAGGGGAGCAGAAGGTATATTGGAGAGAATTATTGGAGAGAATTATTGGAGAGAATTTCCCCAATATGGCAAAGGGAACAAGCATCAAAATCCAGGAGGTTCAGAGAACCCCCATCAAAATCAATAAGAATAGGTCCACACCCCGTCACCTAATAGTAAAATTTACAAGTCTTAGTGACAAAGAGAAAATCCTGAAAGCAGCCCGGGAAAAGAAGTCTGTAACATACAATGGTAAAATTATTAGATTGGCAGCAGACTTATCCACAGAGACCTGGCAGGCAGAAAGAGCTGGCATGATATATTCAGAGCACTAAACGAGAAAAACATGCAGCCAAGAATACTATATCCAGCTAGGCTATCATTGAAAATAGAAGGAGAGATTAAAAGCTTCCAGGACAAACAAAAACTGAAAGAATTTGCAAACACCAAACCAGCTCTACAGGAAATATTGAAAGGGATCCTCTAAGCAAAGAGAGAGCCTAAAAGTAGTAGATCAGAAAGGAACAGAGACAATATACAATAACAGTCACCTTACAGGCAATACAATGGCACTAAATTCATATCTCTCAATAGTTACCCTGAATGTTAATGGACTAAATGCCCCAATCAAAAGACACAGGGTATCAGAATGGATAAAAAAAAAAAAAACAAAACCCATCTATATGTTGCCTACAAGAAACTCATCTTAAACCCGAAGACACCTCCAGATTTAAAGTGAGGGGGTGGAAAAGAATTTACCATGCTAATGGACATCAGAAGAAAGCAGGAGTGGCAATCCTTATATCAGATCAATTAGATTTTAAGCCAAAGACTATAATAAGAGATGAGGAAGGACACTATATCATACTCAAAGGATCTGTCAAACAAGAAGATCGAAGAATTTTAAATATCTATGCCCCTAACGTGGGAGCAGCCAACTATATAAACCAATTAATAACAAAATCAAAGAAACACATCGACAATCATAAAATAATAGTAGGGGACTTTAACACTCCCCTCAGTGAAATGGACAGATCATCCAAGCAAAAGATCAACAAGGAAATAAAGGCCTTAAATGACACACTGGACCAGATGGACATCACAGATATATTCAGAACATTTCATCCCAAAGCAACAGAATACACATTCTTCTCTAGTGCACCTGGAACATTCTCCAGAATAGATCACATTCTCAGTCCTAAATCAGGTCTCAACTGGTATCAAAAGATTGGAATCATTCCCTGCATATTTTCAGACCACAATGCTCTGAAGCTAGAACTCAATCACAAGAGGAAATTTGGAAAGAACCCAAATACATGGCGACTAAACAGCATCCTTCTAAAGAATGAATGGGTCAACCAGGAAATTAAAGAAGAAAAAATTCATGGAAACAAATGATAATGAAAACACAACAGTTCAAAATCTGTGGGACACAACAAAGGCAGTCCTGAGAGGAAAATATATAGCAGTACAAGCCTTTCTCAAGAAACAAGAGAGGTCTCAGGTACACAACCTAACCCTACACCTAAAGGAGCTGGAGAAAGAACAAGAAAGAAACCCTAAACCCAGCAGGAGAAGAGAAATCATAAAGATCAGAGCAGAAATCAATGAAATAGAAACTAAAAAAACAATAGAACAAATCAACAAAACTAGGAGCTGGTTCTTTGAAAGAATTAATAAGATTGACAAACCCATGGCCAGACTTATCAAAAAGAAAAGAGAAAGGACCCAAATAAATAAAATCATGAATGAAAGAGGAGAGATCACAACGAATACCAAAGAAATAGAGACCATTATAAGAACATACTATGAGCAACTCTACACCAACAAATTTGACAATCTGGAAGAAATGGATGCATTCCTAGAGACATATAAACTACCACAACTGAACCAGGAAGAAATAGAAAGCCTGAACAGACCCATAACCAGTAAAGAGATTGAAACAGTCATCAAAAACCTCCAAACAAACAAAATCCCAGGGCCAGACGGCTTCCCGGGGGAATTCTACCAAACATTTAAAGAGGAACTAATTCCTATTCTCCTGAGACTGTTCCAAAAAATAGAAATGGAAGGAAAACTT